TTGGAGGGCACAGTTGTGCCTCCCATGCAGGGTAAAGGCTGCCGCATAACACAGTCCCGTGCAGGGACAGCGGCCCAGAGCGCACAGAGAATCACCCACAGCCAGTCTCGCCAGAGGCCTTCTGAGGGAACAGCACTGGAAAGAAGGCACTGTGAAGACTAAATAGGGGTGTCCAGGGTGAAAAACAGAGGATACAGACCCCATGTGGCCAGAGTGGCATCACAGAGGCAGAGGTCAGGCACACAGTGTGACCCCAGGACAGAGGAGGAGGTCGCTGAAGAGAGGTGGACCCAGTTCGCATCACGGCCCGGCCTGTGTGCGCAGCTGGGCTCCTACTCTCATCACGGCCTGGTCTGTGTGCACAGCTGGGCTTCTACCAGGACATCAGGCATGAGCTGCTGAAGGCCGGGGAGGCCTATGAGAACGCAGCTCGCACTCAGAATGATCTTTCTGGTGTGGGCGGAGGCTGGGCTGGAGCGGGAGGCTGGGACAAAAAGGAAACAAGAGTAGACGTGGTGAGAAAGTCAAAGGCCTGGGCCCAGGGCAGTGGCCGCAGGACAGGCTTCTGTGGGCTGTGGGCCTGCAAGCTGTGGTCGGAACCGCGCCCTGGTGGACAGAAGTCCCAGCAAACAGCAGAGCGTCTGCCGAGGTTTCCTTTGCATTTCTTCTCATGTGCTCTCTGAAAGTGTGTGGTCTGGAGGGGAAGTGTGTCTTAGCATCGCTGTGGACAGAATCCCCACATTCTGGTCCCGCCTTGGTCTCTAGCTGTGAGTCACTTGCTCCCTCTGAGACTCAGTGTCCTCAGGTATAATTTAGGTCATAAATCTTACCTCCTAACTTTGCATAAGGGTTTAATAAAGTAATGTGGTATATTATTGCTTAGCCAAAGAAGCTGCAAAAACGAAGTAAATCATCTCACACTGTATCGTGTTAGGAATATTTTGGGTGCAAATGCCAGAAAAATAAACTGAGCTGGCTCTCTAGAAATGTGGACAAGTTGGGAATCTGTGAGCAGAGCTGGCTTCAGACACTGCTTGACTCAGGCTGAGATGGGGCCACAGCTCTTGGCTTTCTTTGCTCCCCTGTGATGGCTCCGTTCTCAGACCCACCTCATCTGGCCCTCCTGTCCTAGCACCTTCATCACAGGCCACGCCACACCACACCACGCCCTCTTCCCTTAGGCTCTTCACCAGCCTGGGCAGATGCGCATCGCCTGAGCTGGAACAGGCCCGTGCCTGTGACTGGACGGGATTCGGGTGTTGGCTTATGATCATGTCAAGCTCACCACATCTGGGGTATCTGCGAGAACAGAACTGAGAAGGAGGGAGGTACAGTTCTTTCACCAAAACACATGAGTCTCGTCATGCAAAGTAATGGAAGAAGTGCTGAATGCAAACCCACAGCTGTTCGCCCACACACCTGCTGCAGGAGGCACACCACTCAGGACCTCTGTTGCTGAGCAAAGGTGCAGGTCACCTGTCGAGCCATGGGGGCCAGAAGCCAGTGCCAGAGGGATGTGGCCTTTTCTATTCATGTCATAAGCATAAAACAATTGCTTCCTCTCAAGCTTTGAAGCTTCTCCACGTACTCTCCAAACACCGCACACTGCCTGGGTCACCAGGGCTCCTTGAAAAGCGCTTGTGGGCTGGGAGGAGCCTCCTGCAGTGAAAGCTGCCCTAATCTATCAGCAGGAATCAGATAAGAGAACCTGAAGGTGATCGATAGTAACAGGATTTCTAAGACACACCCGTTTCCCCCTTGTAAACTTCCTTCTGACCCCCAGGACCTCCCATCTCTATAGATTTAAACCATCTCACCCATCTTTTACCCAGCCACCTTGGAAGTCATTACCAGCTTGCACTCCATCCAAAAATGTTCAAGGACAGTGAACACAGAGCCCTCGAGAAAGATGAGTGTCACCAGCCCAGACGCTGAGCGCTCTGCACGTAGGAGAGCAGAGGGTGCAGCAAGTCCCGCCCACGCGGGTGACTTCCCACACAGCAGGCCCAAGAGACTGGACCTCAGCCTCTGTATCCCTCAGCCCTGCGCCTCGGTGCTCTAGAGCTCCGGTCAGAGGGCAAGCGCCCAGTGGGAAAAGGCCACATCGCCCTGGTCCCTGATTCCAGCACTGACCACAACACCTGCCCGTGGCGACCTTCCACCGACGCCCCCTGAGTCAGGGCACTCACAGTCTGGGCACAGCAAATATGATGGTCTAAACGACAGGTCTGAACTTGAAGATCTGACAGCCTTTCGGGTAGAAAATGAACACCCAACTGGTGTGGGAAAGGCACACGCTCTAAGTGCACCGCACAGGCATGTGGCCCTTCTCTCTCCAAAGTACACAGTCCCTTCTCGCTTGAGGCTCAGGACAAAGCGAGCAAATCTGCCGAGCAAATCTGCTAGCTCCGCCTGAGACCTGAGCCCATGATGGGAGATGCGACAGACAGAGATGCTCAGCCAAGCGCCAGCGACTTAGTAATGGACAGTCTGAGCCGTGGCCGCTGGCCGCAGGCATAGGTCTCCTCCCGACGGCCCTGCGGCCCCTCAGAGGACTGGATGGGGGTGGTGGGGGTGAACAGAGAAGACGGTTGATGAGAAGTTCTCTGGGAACCCGGGTATGTTTCTGAAGACCTGCAGCGTCGAAAGCCCTGGCCTCACCGTTCTCCCTCGGGTCGCCACCCTTTCACAGATGAAAGAGCAGAGAGCGCCCGGTGTCCAGACGACACTGAGTGGCAAAACCAGCCAGCAGCCACGTTGAAACCAGAGCCCGAGGCGCCCAAGTTACTGCTCCCCTTTTGCTTCCTGCCTGGGCTCAAAACCTCCGAGTCAGAATCGCTGGGTGGTCGGAGCAGAGGAGCCCCCAGTCTGGGAAGGCTGTCCAGCGCTGCTCGGCACCTGCTTGGGGACGGGCTGTCTGCCGCGAGGCACCGTCCACCCACCTGGGAAGCCTCCGCGCCACTCTTCCCGCACCAGCAGAGGACTCTGCGTCTGTCCCTCCCGTCGCCTCCCCAGCCAGTCTCACTCTGTTCAGGGGGACGGTGTTCCTGCCGTGTGTCAGGACCCATGGATGGGTGTGGACAGTGGCCTAGCGGCGGCCGGGCCAGAGGGAGCCGCATGAACAGGTTGTTGGGGCTGGAGCAAGGCCAGGCCAGCAGGCGTCCAGCCTCAGTGCTCCTCTCTGTGGACTACAGCACAGACTGAGAGTGTCCCCATTTCAGGGTTCTCAGCAAAGCGCTGACCTTGCGCTTTCGGCCCCGTCCGCACTTGCTGCCCTCTTTACCATGTGTGAATAAAGACGCAAATGTGCTGGGGTGTCACTGCCTCTCCATCAGAGGTCGGGTCCCACCTGGACCCAACTTTTCCTTATGTGTCTTGTTTCTTCTTAATCTCCTGTTGCCGCCTCTCGGGACCTCGCTCCCTGCACAGGTGGCGGCAGAGGGGCACCTCTGTCAGGCAGGTTGCGTCTTTGAAAGGCTACAGTGTGTACCCAGGTCACAGTGGGCAAGGCGGGCAGGGCTCTGCCTTCCACACCACGTCGTTTGCATTGGCGTCTGAGCAGACCGAAGATGCGCATCTTCCTGCAGACGGAGCTGCTGAGCGTGGGCAGACAGCTCCCTGCGCACTGCTCTCTGCTTTACAAGTCAGTAAATGTTCAGAGCTCCCAATGCAATGCATGAGGTTAATTAATAACATGTAAAAGTTTATAGTTTATACAGCACAATCCCATAAACATTTATTTGTATGCTAATAGAGAGTAATGGCCCTGTGAGCATAGAATCAGGCAGCAGGGGGTGGGGGCTGGCGTGCACGGCCAAAGGCTGTCAGTAGGCCCCTCCCGGTCGTTTAAATCAAGAGTACCGCTGCGATCAAAAATATGGGTAGTGCTTATTTTTTAAAAAATGTATCACAGAAAAAGACATTATCATGAACCCCTGGGGCCAAAATACTCCCCTTACTTCAGACACTTATCCCATTGTTCTTGACACTTTCTGAAGCCGTTCTGGAAGTCTTCTTCCCTAAGCATCTTCGGTTAAGCTGTGCTGGCTGCCTTCGTGTCCCAAAGTGATTCAAATGCTTTTGAGGTCATCCTGACTTTGGGATGAGCCGGAAGTCACATGGTGACAGGCCTGGTGAGTAAGGTAGATGAGGACAGGACGCAGGGTCGGGTTTGCATTTGATAGAAATCTCTATGCCTGAAGCAATATGTGACAGGGTGTCCTCGTGTTGGAGTGTGAAACTATTTGCTCACTTCCCAGGCTACAGTCTGCACCCCCCTTTCTCACACCCCTGAAAAGCCTGCGTGGTGTTTGGAGTCCTCACCGTGTTCCTGGGCACAAACTCAGCTCCCCAACTCCATCAAGGTCAAAAGCACTGTCAGTATCCTGCTGGTGTTGGATCTTGACTGACATTTTTCACCTGAGGAGACCTGGGTGATCCTGGGAACCCTGAACCTTGGCCCCAAGGTCCTAACCACAGACCCAAGTTCCATCTCGGGGATGACATTTCTGAGACAGCTGGAATCTGAAGCAGCGGATCATGCTCCAGTGAGCTGTCCGGATCCCATGTAGTGTATCGGCGAGCCACGACTCACAGCGCACTTTGAAGCACATCTCCCTGGCGGCAGCTTGCAACTGCGCGAGCAGCACCACCAACACTGGCCATGCCCGGCCACGCCGCAGGCCCTGCTGTTGGTCGGCGGCGCTGGGCTGCAGCCCGGACCGTGTTTTGTCAGAGCGGGGTAGCAGGCACGACCACCCTATAGCTCCCTCTACAGGTCGCACCTCTGGTGACGGTGACCGGGCGAGAAGGCTGGCCTTGGGTCTGCAGATCTAAGGTTCCGCCCTTAAACATGGAGAACAGACACGCCCTGAAGTGCACTCTGCGCCAGGGCTTGCGGAGGACTTCCCACGGACACCCCTGTCTGGGCGTCAGTGCTCTCTTGACTCCCAGAAAGTCTTGCGCCACCTCTTCCAGATGGATAAAGTCTAGACAAGTAGATCAAGTCAGCGACAGAGCTGAAATCATCCCAGAGGGCGGGCTAGTGCAAGAGAGGTGACTCTGAAAGCACGCGTTCTCGTCGTCGTCCACCCTTGCTGGCCAGGAGCGGGGACCCGGGCTCTCGCTCACACTGCAGTCAGGGACAGAGGCCAAGCCACTGAGGGCTCCGCAGTCTCCTGGGCTGTGGGGACAGCAAGGGTCTCACGGCACTGGACTTCTGGGAGTATTAGAAGCACATATGCGGGCATTTTCTCCCAGTACCACTACTTATTACCAAGAATAATCAGTCAGCTGCAGACAAAGATGACTAAGGCCCAGCCCCTGCTTCTAACGGCTCAGAACGTGCATGTGGAGAATGGGCAGACAGCCCCGCAGCGCCTTCTGCGTTACAGCACGGGTCTGTGGTGCACGTAGGGCTGACTCCTCTTCACTGCTGTTTAATGTCTCATCCTACCAAACCACAGCTCACTCTTACTTGCCCAGAGAGGCAGTAGTTACCCCTTTGCACCATGAGCCTCCTACCTGTGGGGTGCTTGGGACGTGCAGGCACTTCCGGGGAACAGCTGGTGCGTGCTGCTCACCAGCGTGGCTAATGGCTGCCAGAGGGGCACATCGCGACGGAACGTGGTCTGGTGGCTGTGCAGTGAGCACACTGGAAATGGTGTCATTGCCTCCTGATGCCGGGACGTGACGTGACGGGGTTGCTGCCACGGCTGTCTGTGCTCCTTTGGTGGGGGTGATGGTGGTTCAGAATTCACCTGTCAGGCGGAGAACAGGGAGGGTCAGCCCCACAGGCCAGGGGATGTCCAGGAGCATGGACATGACCGCGCTGCCAGTTTAGGGGGCAGGACGGGAGGGCGCGGGGACTGCCTCAGGTGTGAGCACAGCGCCCTGTGCTGGAGTGGCTGCCCTGACCTCTCTGTCTCCCGAGCCGCCCTCCCCTCCTCCTGATCCGGAGCATCCCGGCTCTGGGCCGCACACCTGCTGGTGTGCAAGCACACACTGTGCGGCACCAGTGTGAGGGCTGAACAGACACAAGCACTCACACCACCCCAAGCCGGAGGAAGAGACTGTCTCGAAACACTTCCCACTGATTTTAGCTAGGTCCTTGTGAATCCTGTGGGGCCTGGTTGCTTTTGGCATGATTGATATCCCTGCCTTCCCAGCATGCATCTGTGCCTCCTCTGTCCTCC